CCCCGAAGAAGTACAGCCCCCACAACCTCAATTACAACGAGCTCGTGTACAAAAACATTTATTTTCTTGTCGTAATTGTAACGACAAACTGGATAAGTAGCTTGCCGCCACTCTCGACAATGATGTTTATTTAGCTACTTCACATACACACACGTATATGTACAAGAGAGAAGAAAGGAAAATCATCGGAGTATGCCATCAATATCGGCACAGTAATGATAAAGGGTGTGGGGGTGTGAATGTGGGTGGGTGTGCATGAAGAACAGACTCACACCCACACCCGATCGATCAAAATTTTCAGACCCGAACCCCATCATGAAAAATGTTTGGATCCATACTAGTGGTAGCACTTAAAGTTTGAAACTACGCTGATAAAGTTATTGAAAGTAAAGTTAAGGCAAGCATACTATAAACTTTAACTTTAATTCTTTGAACGCTGAATTTTAATTATGCTTCCTTTAACTTTAAAGTAAAGTTAAAGTATCATGCCTCACCAACACCTGATTTAATAATGAATGATAGATCTGGACCAAAACATATTCTTAAACTCTTAATCAAATTTTTTAATCGAATCTGATAGTCGCTGAGAAGATACAGCATACTTCTTTACTTTTATGCTAGACAAGTACCACATCTTAAATGTTCATTAATCGATTCGATAATGACTTTATAACAATTAAGTTATAATTGGTTCTTACTCATAGCAAGTAGCTTCGAATAGAATAATGAATGCATGCATGAAAGTTTTTACATTATTTCTTTTACCAGACAACTGTATCGCTATCAACAACATTTGTTTTATTTTTAACTGAATTATATGCATAAAAGTTTTCTTGCGATTCGCACCCAATCAGTAAAAGTCTTTAGACCCGCACCCGACGGGGTTCTAAGCCATGCCCATGCCAAGGTGTCCTCCGATAAGTATTTTGACGTGTCGATTTAAACTGAGGAGGGGCAACACGGTTCTAGATAGTGTGTTCGAAGTGCCGCTTTTCGATGGGTTGAGGGCTCGGCATTTGGTTACTCATGTCTATCTCCCGAAACTGCTGCTCGATGAGTCTTTTGGGTTATCTATTTGAACTTGCCGATAGGTCGATAGAATTATAAAAATGTTCATCCATCGCCGACTCTCGACCTATCAGAAAATGGTACTCGAACGGGTCGATCTGTAAGTTCGATGTCATCGACGCATCCCTCTTTTATGAATTTCGAAAGATCAAATCAACACAGGTTCGAGCGAGCGGTATTCCCAGCACTTGAAGTTTTATCAAATTTTTCAAAAAAAGATTTTTTTCACGCATTCATTTTTCGAGCTTTTTCACGACCTATCAAGTATTTTTGCAGAAGAGAAGATTCGAACATGTACTTACAATTTACGATGCTCGTATAGATCAGATGCACTAAACATGATGTTCAAGTCTTTGATAAAGCTACGTATTGTCATAAAGTATATAAGTTCAACAATTTTTTAAATATTCTATGAATACATTTTTAATTAATTTTTTTTCAAGACAGTCATGAAGTATATGTTTCTATTATCGATGATTGACATAGTTACTCATAAAAATAAATTTGAAATTTATATCTGTTTCTTAGTAAAGACTAGGACGATTTCAGAATGTAAATAACACGCTGTTTTTGTGTTTATCGCATCTCCAATTTCATTAAGGCAACTCAACTTAAGAAGTTTATTCATCTTTTCCTTATTTAACAGAAGACACTGGAATCTAGTAACTCTAATTTTTTTTTAAATTTTTTTCTTTCTCTAATCTTGAGAGATATATCAAGTCAAAAAAGCTCTCAATAAAGCTGAGAAATTATATGACAGAAGACCATTTTGATAAAATTTCCTTCGAGAGAAAATATTGTTTTTTTTGAAAAATACTAAAAGAATTGTATCAATGGAGACACATCAGCGAACAACTGATGTAAGAAAAGTTGACTTCTTTCAGCAAAAACGATTATTTTTAGATGAAAAATCATCTTCTATGGTAAAAACCTCACTTTTAACAAGGATATGAATCAAAGTCATGATGTTTATGAGAATGCACATCGGAATGTCTAATCATGACTTTTCTGAAAAGAGTTTTTTTCACGATACTCATGTTTTTCAGCGACCTTTATCAAAATTTTGCTATTTTCTACTTCTCTTTCCATCTAATTATGAAAAATATGCACATTTTTTCATTGATACAGTCTTAGATTGATCTATCCGACTTTAACTAATGCAATACTTGAGCACATTCCCAGAGTTATCAGTAAACAGTTTTCAGCTCCAACGGCTCGAGTTTTGATTACAGATAAACAACAGGGAAAAATTTTGATTGTGATTAGGTTCCATGCTTTTTGGAACAGTCGGACTCTATTTAACAGTCAAAATGGCTATGTTGGAACGATAAAATTGGATTTCGAGAGGAAGTCGATTTTGATTGTTTATCGAGCTATGCCGTTTTATAAGATCATTCGACATTTTATAATGTCTAATAAATGCATTCTTCTCCTATAATCAATAATACTTTCTTCAGAAAAAAATAAATCATGAGAGACTAACTTTTGCATCTGATATAGTTTTGCGTATGGTATTTGCTGTGAGGTGATTATCGAGCGGACGAACGTCAATTTGTCTTTTAGTCTATGAATCGTTATTATTCATTTTGTTGAAACAAGAGTCACATATGTTCTATAATTGCAGAAAACAAACAGGAACAACATATGTGTTGTTTCAGTTTGCGTTTCCGTAAAATAGAAAAAATTCTTTTTGTTGATCGACATATTCTATAAATACAAGAGTATTGATAATTATAATCTTTCATAAAACTTTTGAAAGAATGCTGATTATGTATGTGATGATATGTTTTGCTCTGCAGAATGCAGTGCATACTCGATATTCACTATATTATTCCGATATTCGTCAGAGTTCGTATCTGACATTTGACTGTTTGTACAATCAAATCATCGAAGGTGAATTAAATGAATATTCATCTTATATTATGAATAATCAGTTGACTCCCTATTGTCGACGACCTGATAATGATGAAAAAGAAGAAGAAATATCTCATATATTGAATGAAAATATAGCAAGCAAGATTACTTTTAAAGAATTGAGCAAACTAGGCGTACCAAGTGAACAACTTCTGAATTGGTCAGCATCTATCGACCTTGCTGAACGATATGAAATGAATAATCAAAGTTCAGAATTATTCTATAACTGTTCATCGCCATGGTTCGGATCAAAATGTCAGTATCGATTTGTCTACAATTTATCTTTGTCTTTTAATAAAATTGTTGAATCTTCTGTGATAAGTCGTTCGGGCATTATCATTGACGTAGGTGTAACCACATGTTATCCTTTTCTATCTGATTGTGATCGTGGACCATGGTCTTTATGTCTCGATTGGCGGCAAATATGTAATGGCAAAGTTGATTGTATGAGTGGCGAAGACGAACGGTGGTGTGAAATATTAGAGATGACAACATGTGCTGATGATGAATATCGATGTCATTATGGTGGGCAATGTATTCCAATGATATTTGTACGAGACAGCACTTTAAGTATTGACTGTCTTGATGGTAATGAAGAGAAAGAACCCATCTTTTTCTTTTCTTCTTTCATCTTATCTGCTTGTGGTTCAATTACCTCATTTCAATGTGAAGAGCGGATTAATCGATATCCTCTTTCTTTTCCATGTGGTAATGGCCAATTTTTGCCAGAGACTGATTTGCCAGTTAATGGGATATCTTGTTCCAATTGGAGACATAGAGAAGGGACTTTAGCCATGCTTACTTCATTTGATCATATTAAAGATATTAAATGTCGACAAGCATTTCGCTGGTCACTACTTTCCAATCGAAGTCCTTGTAAGTAAGAAAAGTTGTATATTAATTTAATCATTGAGAAAACTCAAGTGTTGTTTTTGTTTTTCAAATAGTAGTATGCAATAAATAAAGCCTTGAAATGTAAATTATAATGTTTTAGCCTTCGACTTCAAAGCTGAATTTGTCTAGCTTTTGAAAACTCGTTACGAGCTTCAGAGTTTCTAAAGATAGCTTATAGCGATCGCATTCATCAATAGTTGTCACGATTGTAATGCCTTCAATAGTGAACTATTTAGAAGGAGTTACAAGACAATACTGATCTATAGGAGTACATACTCATATTTTCTATGCAGCACATGGTTTTGAGCTCTTTATATATTTATCGACTTGTTCCACCACGTGATGTTGACGTGAAAATCGGTCGACAGGGACAATATTTTTGCATACTTCTAACTTTCGGAAAAAAGCATTGAAACGCTATTGCATTGTATTGCATTCTACATCGATGTTTGGCAATACTTCCTTCTTGCGCAGATCTCTTCAGGCCGCTACTGTTTTTCAGGTCGGAAAATATACAATTCTGTACACTGTTTGCTTTTATGTTGTCTGTTTCTCATTATCTATTGCTGGACAGAAAATTTCACACAACTATAAATTCTATGTTAATTCTGCACTTTCATTAATTATTCTTCCGATATGGACACTATTTATTACTTGTATATTTAATCTACTATCCATGCTATATGCGCTTTGTCATCTCTCATGTCTGCGTGGAATATATGGAATAAACAATAGGAAATACAAATAAATCTATGATAAATTACAATACTAAATAATTATTCGATTTTGTTTGAACAATAGAAGGTCATATCCACGTGGATTGAGCAAATAGAAAAGAGACTCCATGACAAATTTAGACTTAATAGGATAGTTTGATGCAAATTTTCTTACCAAATGATCTCCAACATTAGTAAAAAATTTCTGATTTTAAAAAAAAATCACCTTTTTAGTCGTTTTTTCGGAAAAAATAGGGACAAATTTAAAAAAAATTTCAGATCGAGCCGATAAAAGAAAAAAATTGTCTCTACTGACCGGTATACCGGCCGGTTGGGTTACAACTTTGGTACACGAAAGTATATCTAGAGAGATACAACTAGGAAGTCATATAAAGTCAGTTTATCCGGTTTTAGCAATCCAAAGAGTTCAATTGAATAATGAAATCATACATAGAATAGAAACCTGAGCAAAATCTTATCGAACTAAGATACTCTGGCAATCCCCTCACAGACCATATATTTGTGATTAACAAGAGTAGTTACATCGTGTTTCGAATTTCAATCTCGCAGCGAGTACACTAACAGCTTTTATATTTGACTTCAGCTGAGTAAGAATAAAAAAGTCTAATGAGTCCATTTGAACCTTACGTTCCATCTGTGCGTTATGTCTTTAGTAGGACTTTTTCCATAAAATAAACTTCTTTAATGATCATCCTATATAAAGTGACATTTACTTGTAAATTTCTGCTAGTTACAACATATAAGATCATACTGAATGGTTAGTGTCAATTAGAGATAGAACTAGTATCAGAAATCAGTTGGTTTACTGTTAGATTAATGATTACTTATAGATCGGCCGTACACCAATCTATCATGTTTACTTTTCTGCTTTTATTACATAAACTTATTTAAAATTTCTATTGGTCTTCAGAGTATTCTACTCACTCAATATCGGTACAAGTTATAAAACATTTAGAATAATCTGTTTTGAAAAAAATCCTAATTCTGCCAAAGACTCTGAACAAAATTATATATTTCATTATGCAGATAAAGTCAGGAGGATTATGAAACAGTAGCAATTTTGAATCAGCTGTATTTTTGACAGATTCAGTTTACAGCATGTACATATTAATTTATTTGTTTTACAAAAGATACGTAAGAAGCACACCTAAATAACATTAACTTTTCAATCTAATATTAAGTTATAAGTTATCTAAGAAGTCAAAAAGAATTGAACTTGACTTAGTGCTCATCTAAACTTTTAATAAGACATTGAACATTGCATTTTTTTTCGTCATTTTGCACTGCTGGTTTTTTTATCGATCGAGAACAATTTTTCACCAATTGAGGCAATGTAAGTAAGAACTTGTGGAAAAAAAATGACAACGCAATATCTTGAAAAAAAAAGTATACTAACATCAGTATGAGAGATAGAATCTATCGATAAGAAAGAATAATAAAATCAAAGTATTAACAAATACATGTCGCAGAAAATAATGCCAAAAGATAATATAGCCATATGGTATTTTACACATCACTCTTTTTCTTTGGATACAAACAATCTACATTTATTATTTATTGTTCTCACACAAAAGGACTGGAATAAGTAATATTGAATATTTTCACATTTATATATGAACCATTTCAGACAAAACACGACATATCACTTTTCATTTGACTTGAAT